AAAAAAGAAAAGTAAAAAAAAAAGGAAAAAAAAGGGGCCCCCCATAAAATGGCGCCCCCCATTTTTCAATTTTTTTCAAATTTTTTAATGGTGGGGGGTGGGGCCCTGGTCGCGCCGTCGGAACCCCGACCTCGATTGGCAGGACCCCCCTCCCCTCGCCCGCAGCAAGCCGATTTCGGCCGCGGCCGCAGCGGTCATGACCGCGGCCCTGCGGCCCCGACCGCGGGCTGCGGTCATGCCCGCGGCGACCGCGGCCGCTGGGGATACATAGGTGTAAACCCCGTGTGACGTGTCGGTACGACGGTATGATCGGTATCTAAATGACTTACTCTGGCCTGAAGTAGTGGGGGCTTAGCGATGAATCCCCCATGGAGGCGGCCACCTGCAGCCGGGCCCACCTCCATGGGGGATTCATAGCTAAGCCCCCACTACTTCAGGCCAGAGTAAGTCGTTTAGATACCAACATGTTACACAGGGTTTACACCTCATGCTTTAGTAAACCCCAGGTACCTCAGGCTCTAGTAAGATTCCCTCACTAAGTGCTTTGGTAAGCCTCAGCTACACAGAGACGGGGTTTACACTGTGTATGAGACCCGGGCTTTACAACTCATGCTTTCAGTCTAGAGTAAGTCGTATGCATACAGACGTGGGGTTGACACCACATGCTTTATTGCTTCGGTAAACCCTAGCTACTTAGGGTAGAGTAATAAGGTTATCTGAACTTATCTCCCTATGTTCCTGCTACACAGACACGGGGTTTACACCCAGTGTACGAGACACCTCAGGCTTTCAGGCGAGAGTAAGTCGTATGGAATACACACATGGGCTTTACACCCCATGCTTTAGTAAACACCAACTACTTCAGCAGGCCAGGGTAAGGTTCTTTCCCTTCGTGCTTTGGTATTCCCCAGCTACACAGACACGGGGTTTACACCCAAGTGCATGAGACTCGCTTTCGTCTTTAGCTAAGAGTGTGACAGTGCTGTCTAGGGTGTGAAGGCCGACCAATGCTCATGGCATTTACTACTATAATTTCTTGACATGACCAGTCACATTAATAGACCACCTACCTTGCTATACCCCAGCCGGACCAGCTTCGGAGGACCACTATGGAACTACCTCATCATCCTAGTGAGCTGGCGAAGCCCAAGGAAAATAAAGCAAGAGCGTAGTCAACTGATCAATTTGCCGCTCCATTTCTGTCTATCCATCTCTTCGTATCTCAGCTAATAAGCTTATAGTCAACCTATCAATCTCTCCTACAGTCCTACTCTCCCACTGCTCAGATCTGACTCAGCTGAGAGCTGGAGCTGCAGTGAGCACGCCAGAGAATAGGATACTAGGGAAAGTTGGGAAACGAAATAATGGAGCGAGCAATTGTTGCACGCTGATTTGATCGGTCAATTGACCAATTTTCTCCTCGGAAAATGCCGTTGCCATCTATATTTCGTTTGTCCTTCGTGTTTACCATCTTTTTCTGGGTCGCTTCAGGAGGGTTTCGTCATTGCTTTTCCACGCTCTGGATGGAAACACAAAATTGACTTGCTGTCCGGCATTACCGCCCCAGTAGATCAATTCTGATTCCAAGCACACACACGAGCCGTACATCGGTCTTTTGTCTGATTCCAAGCACACACATGAGCCGTACTTGTCTGATTCCAAGCACACACATGAGCCGTGCTTGTCTGATTCCAAGCACACACACGAGCCGTACGTCGGTCATTTGTCGGTTGACTCGGTTCTGACCAATTCTCGATGGCTTGCAACCCGACCGAACTGTCCTATTCATTCCCGCACGTTTGTACAATGCGCATGTATGTCACCGTGGTGGCTCCAGACACGTTTGTACAATGCGCATGTATGTGATCGTGGATGAATTGGACGACTTCCACAGAATCCACATGGACTAACACACTGTTGATGGGCGACATCCAGACGACCGAGATTGGAATGCCATGCGAGAGCAAACCACGCCTCCACGAACCTCAGCTTTTCATGAAACCAAGAAACTGCACAAAGCTCGCAGTGCGGCAGTGGTTTAGGACGACAGAAGCGGGAAAGGGGGTATTGCTGGGGTCAAGGACTGACAGCATGGAGGGAAAGGAGAAGATCAAAGAGGCCAAAAGGAATGGAAAGGTGGCTATATGGATACTACTCGTAGTTACTGATTACAAGAAACGCAGCGCTGGCTTTCAGAGAAAGCTGCCATATTGATGAGAGAAGCCCTCTAAAGAAGCAAACTGGTGCAGTAGGGAGTGAAGCTGGTTGGGAAGAACAAGAGGCCATGCAATTAACAGCTTTGCAAACAAAGTAAGCTCAATTCCGGTGTGCTCATAGAGAAGCTGAACGACTCTGAATGAGAGAGGAGCGGTAAGGGTTGGACCGCAATTGCCGTGCTGTGCTTCAATATAGGACGAACCTGAGCTGTAGTTTGGACCAGGTTCATGAGGAGTTGACATGCCATCTTGGAAGTTCGACCTGACCCTAAAGGGTAGGCTGTTGCAATAACCAGGGACACTGATGCAGCAAGCAGCAAGTGTTCCATTCCAGAAGAAGGACAAAGCTGGAAAAGTAAGAGCAAAGCTGAAGCCACGTTGGCTTTGTAGGAGAGAATCCAATGGCCGCACAGTCAGTCCACAACGACTACGGACTTCCCCCCAACATATCCCACCCCCATTATGACTGTATCAGACGGGAAAGATAGCTTGTATAAACTCATGACCACGGCGCCTTGTGTTTGAAGGAAGACAGTAAAGTAAACAAAGATGAGCAAGGGGTTGCACAATGAAGACAAGGGCAACATATCTTGTGCAGTAGAGAGTCTGGCTGAGCGCAAGGAGATTGGAGCTTCTGGACCTGTCGGGGGTCTAGGGGGTGAAATTAGCCCTGAGCTGGATGCTCCTTAAAGGAAGGTGGATGCACATAGCGCACCCATGATGAGAGAAACCAAAGGCGAACGGGAGAGAGAACAGGATTTATCGTATGCAGTAGAGGGAGGGAGAACGGGCTTCATCGTATGCAGTAGAGAGTGTAACCGAGCACCAGGAGCTTGGATCTTCTGGACTAGACGGAGTCTAAAGGGTAAGGCTGAGCTGAATGCGGCGTAAAGGAAGGTGGCTGCAGCTAGCACACCCGTGAGGAGAGAAACGAAAGTGGAGCGGGAAAGCAACCAAGGTAGATATGGAGCCAGTATCTGAGGTTCAGTGAGAAGGAGACTAGAAGCTAATCCGGAGGGAGACTCTGAGCTTCAGCAGAAAGGAGGATAGGACCTGGGGTACCAATGCAGTGAAAAGACGAGCTGCAGCGCAAAAGGAGACAAGCTAGCACGGACCCGGCAGGAGGAGAAAGCGAAGCCTGAAGCAGCAAAAAAAGAAAAAAAAATTGCCCGTCGCAAATGCGCGCCCGTCGTGTGGGGGCGGTGGAGTCAGGCTTGTCAGTGCGAACACTAGCGAGGGAAAGCGCGCGAGAAGAAGAGCGGTTGACGAAGCAGACAGATGCACGCGCGAGGCCTGGTCGAGAAATCGACACCGTCGATACGGGACCAGGAAGATCCGCCTACAGCTGTGTGGGATCGGCTTGGCCACCAGGAGAGCCGGCGGGAGTTTCCACTGCGGATGATGAGTAAGTTTTCAACCAGCAATAGACGCGTCTCGATTAGCCCTCATGGACTGCGTCATTGCCCCAAGCGCATGAGTAAGCGAGCGAGTGAGGCACAGCAGTCCGTCCGCTTCCCGACAAAGGACAGCAAACATGAAGGGGAGAACGAAGAGGCAGACTGCAAGGGCGCCGCGGGAAGTGCGGGAGAGGGGAGAGAGGGGGAGGGAGGAGGGGGGGGGGGGGGGGGGGGGGGGGGGGGGGGGGGGGGAGGAGGGTGACGACGAAGAGAGGGAGGGAGAGAGGTTGCGCGGGAGAGAGCGGAAAAGGGCAAGTAGGTGTCCTAGATCGAGAGGAATAACTGACATACTGCTTCGCTTGTTCACATTTCTTTTTTTTTTTTTTGGCTTTCTTTCTCTTTTATTCGTGTTATTTTTTTTTTAACTATTTACATTTACACTCT